TGAAATGAATAGAAGACAGAGACGTCTTACTTGCGCTAAGTTTAACAAGTCTTAGTATTAGTCAATGAGAGTAGACAAACAATATTAGTATTTAGGGGTTCAAAAAAAGAGTAATGCTACCATTATCGAGAATAATGTATTGAATAATGTGATAAAATCTTAATGGTCGATTAATATTAAGTTATAATTAATCAACAGTCAGGATTTTGTTACGTCATTCAGTACATAAATTTGGTGCATTACTCCCGATGTCTCTATTATTTTCCTCAAAAAAATGCTGAACCCGAACCAAACCAAAAATCAAACTGATTTTTTAGTTATCTAGAAAACCGATTCGGTTTCAGTTCAAAGAAATACAAAAATCAATTCAGTTATCTGTTTACAGGATTATGAGAACTGGTTAACTAAAACTGGTTTTAAAAACCAGTTTATTATAAAAATAATAAAATATAAAATCAAAATATATAAACCAATTTATTATAAAAATAATAAAATATAAAATAGATTTAAATTAGGAAAAAATCAAAATAAAAAATAAGTTAAAAGATGTTAATTTTAAATCTGAAACGTGTATTTGAATTTAACACTATCTTGGTTCTTGTTAGATATAGAAAAAATAAAACAAAAATTGGGACAAATACCTTGACTAGAGTGTGAACCGAATTATCAGCTTTTTGTTAAAAGTACTTTTTCTAAGTGAAAGAATATAAATAAGGTGTCCACATCATGGGATCATTTGCAGAAAATTTACGTANCAACATACCCACTTGTAGATCTCCTGTCATTAACATCAGTAGCCCAATCTGCATCTGCATAAGCTTCCAGTAGAAAATGTTCCTTTTTAGTAAACAATAACCCATGATTCAGTGTTCCCTTCACGTATCTAAGAACCCTTTTACATGCTGTCCAATGATTGATAGTGGGCTGCTGCTGAAATTGACTTAACTTGTTCACAGCAAATGCAAGATCATGTCTGGACAATGTCAGATACTGCAGCCCTCCAACAATGCTTCTGTACAGTGAAGGTTGATCAAACTGATCACTATCTTCTTTCCCCAGTCTAGTACCAGTGGCCATGGGAGTAATGCAGGATTTAAATTCATTCATACCAACCCTTAGCAGCAAATCTTGAGCATACTTACTTTGTGTGAGCAACAACTCTTTATCATTTCTCTTAACTTCAAATCCAAGAAAATAACTCACAGGACCACGAACGTTTAAAGCAAACTGGGTATTCAAATCTGCCACTATCTGATCAACCAGTTGAGAGTTGTTTCCAGTAACTAATATGTCATCTACATACACCAGGAGATAAACTATAGCAGATTCCTTTTTATAGAAAAACAGACTAACATCAGAAATACAATTCTGAAATTGCCAACTTAATAGAGCCTATTTCAACTTTTCAAACCAAGCTCTTAGAGCTTGTTTGAGTCCATATAGTTCTTTTTGCAACTAACAGACCTGCCTTGTTTGAGAAAAATCAGAGAAGCCTTTTGGTTGCATCATAAAAACTTGTTCAGTCAATTCTCCATTGAGAAATGCATTATTTACATCTAGTTGCTACACTTCCCACTAATTATACACTGCTAAGGATAAAATAATTCTAATAGTTGCTGCCTTAACTATTGGAGAAAATGTCTCAAAATAATCAAGTCCAGGGGTTTGTTGAAACGTCTTAGCTACTAACCTAGCTTTATACTTTGAAAGAGAGCCATCTGAGTTTAACTTGGTTTTAAACACCCACTTGCAGCTACTATGTTCATACCATCTACATAGGGAACTAATTTCCAAGTCTGATTGTTCAGCAATGCTTGATATTCAGCCTCCATAGCAGTTTTCCATTCTGGAGTTTTTAAAGCTTCAGTAACTGAGGTAGGTTCAGGGAGTATTGTATGTGTAGATAGAAGAGCCTGTGGTATATTAGTTGAAACACAGCCCTTGGATCGGGTAACCATTGGATGTACATTTACATTTTTGCTATTAGCTAGGATGGGAAGAACAACCTCTAGCTGAATTCCAAGATTGGTTTGTGTTGAAGTGGATGTTGTAGGCATATTCTCAGGAGAGGATAAGGTATCAGCTTGGGGAGATAACATTCTGCAGTTTTGAATGGACTCTTTTGAAGCACTCTCTTGATTAATGTCTATAGAAATAGCAGGTTTAGAATCTGAAGGTTTGGATGAGGATGAAGGTGATGGCAAGATCCAGGACTTGGTAACCTCACAAAATTCAGGTGAAATAGGAGAAGACACATTAGGTTGAAAGCCAGACTTGAATGGGAAATCAGTCTCATTAAAACGAACTTGTTTAACCACATAACATCTGCCATTGGAATTCATACATCTAAACCCTTTATGAACAAGGCTATAACCCAAGAACACACATTTTTCAGTGTGAAAAGACAGTTTGTGCCTTTGATAAGGTCTAAAAAATGGATAACAGCAGCAACCAAACACTTCAGATCAGTATAATTTGGTACTTGTTGGAATAAGGCTTCAACAAGGGATACAAAATCAATAGCTGTTGAGGGAAGTCGGTTGAGTAGATACACTGCTGTACTAAAGGCTAACCACCAGAATTTCAGAGGCATGGTTGCATAAGCTAGAAAGGATAGCCCATACTTAGTAATAATCCTATGTTTTTGTTCTACTCTACCATTTTGCTGATGAAGATATGGACGAGGGTGCCTAAACAAGATGCTATGTTTCTCTAAATAACTAGTAAAGGGTCAAAATTCCCCTCCCCAATCTGTTTGTAAGCATTTTAGTTTTGCATCTAATTACTTCTCCACAAAACAATGGAACTGAGTAAACACATTAAAGACTTCAGACTTTAGTTTCAGTGGGTAGATCCATGTGTATCTACTAAAATCATCCACAAATATAGCATAATACCTATACCCTTAAGTAGAGAGATTAGGGGCAGGACCCCACAAGTCAGAGTACACTATCTCTAAAGGTTTCTTAGCCTTGGAAGCAAACTTAGGAAATGTACACTGCTGTAATTTTCCAAATTGACATGCTTCACAAAAAAATTGTTTATTTTCAGAACTTGATTTTCTTACATTCAACTTTCCAAGTACATTATTTAGAATCTCACTACTAGGATGACCTAATCTGGCATGTCATAGTAAAACACTACTAGATGGCTCATTAAGTAAGATCTTATTTGCAGAATTACAGGCAGGAGCAGAATCTAAAATAGTACCCAAAGAATACTCTTTATTGGGTTTGAATGAACTAACTGCATGGGTATTGAAGGCGGAAACAGAGCTAGAATCACAAAGTGTAGGTCTTAGTGTAGAATCAGCTGAAAGAGCAGCAATGGTGGGCAAGGTAAGCTGATAGAGACCATCCTTTACTGTCCTTTGAAGAAGAATAGCCTTTCTTTGCTTATCCTTTATCAAACAGTGGTCAGCATGAAACTCAACTATCACATGATTATCTTTAGTGATTTGAGATATGCTTAGTAGGTTCTTAGCAATACTAGGAACACACAAGATGTTATGAAGTTGTAAAATTCTATTTGAATCAGCAGAGGGTAACAGTAATGTACCTGTATGGGTAATGGGAATGGACTGACCATTACCAACTTGTACTTGGGACCCTCCCTGGTAGTTAGACTTCATCAGCATGTTATTTGCATCGGCAGTCATATGATTTGAGGCTCCAGAGTCCATGTACCAGGACTGATCTGTGAGTGTTTGTGGAGTAGCAGTAGCTGGAGCATTAACATGAGAGAACGGTGTCAAAGAGGTAGTGTTTGAGAAAGTGTTTGTATTCTGGTCTGGTGAGTAATTTTGAGGTGTGTGTGGTTGAAATTATGGAGTGTTGTAAATTGGTTGAAAACTTCTAGGCATTCTAGCAGCAGAAAAATCATGAAAACCTTTATAAGAGTTTGAAGAAGATTTGGGTGTTATAGTATTTGCTGCAAAGAGAGCTTGAGCAGGAGCATTAGGTTCATGTGAGTTTCCTGAGTATGATTGAGTATTACTGACTGGAGAAGTAGTTATCTGGGCTGAAGAAGGACTGTAGTTACCATGATTTGTGTTCATAAACCCCTGGTACTCATAGTCAAAGCGGTGATAACATTGCAAGGCCGAGTGACCATTTTTCCCACATACTTGACAAATTAAATGAGGCCTAAAGTACCCTCTGCCTGTCATCCCATTGTTGTTAAACTGACCAGCACCAGGAGCAGGATATTGAGTAGGAACAGGATGAGGAAATGTGGTAGAATACACGGCTACATTAGGGGGTTGTTGTTAGGGATAAATTCCATGGTGTTGTTGTTGGGGATAAATTCCATGGTGTTGATAATTCAACATTCCTTGTGAAGACATAGGTGAAAGGTTAGAGTTCTGCCATGTAGTTGGTTGAATAGTAGAGGGAGAACCAAAATTCTGAGCAGTAATTCTTCCAGCCCCGGTATTTTGGAATTATGGTACAAAAGAAATTTGGAACTGTGACACACCTCCAACATCACTTGAAGCTTGTTTTGTGGCTAGTAGTGCAGATGATATACCATGAAAGTTAGATAGTATACTATTCTGCTTCTCAATTCTCATCTCATGTTTNAAGATTGGGCATAAATCAATTGAGTGGCTCTATTCCTCCTTCCATCAGAAATTTGAGCAACTTAAATGTTTTATACCTCCACACAAACCACCTTTCTGGTGCCATCCAAAAGGAGATAGGCAACTTGAAGTCTTTTTCGGTTCTACAGTTGAGCACAAATCAATTGAGTGGCTCTATTCCTCATTCCATCGAAAATTTGAGCAACTTAAAAGTTTTAAGCCTCCACACAAACAACCTTTCTGGCGCCATTCCAAAGGAGGCAACTTGAAGTCTCTTTCGGATATAGGATTGGGCATAAATCAATTGAGTGGCTCTATTCCTCCTTCCATCAGAAATTTGACCAAATTAATAAGGTTCAGCCTCTACACCAACAATCTTTCTGGTTCTCTTCCACATAATATTTGTCGAAGTGGATCACTTATGTACCTTGGCGTTAGTGAGAACAATTTTGGTGGCCGCATCCCTAAAGATTTAAGAGACTGTACAAGCTTAATCAGAGTTTGCCTTCAAAAAAACCAGTTCATTGGAAATATTTCTGAAGATTTCGGCATCTATCCAAATCTGAATTTCATAGATCTTAGCCGCAACAAATTTCATGGTGAAATCTCATCTACTTGGGGAAAGTGCTCACAGTTAGGCACTATAAATATATCAGGGAATAACATTTCTGGGAGCATCCTGCCTGAGATTCAGAACTCAATCGAACTACATGTACTTGACTTTTCTTCAAATCATTTAATTGGAGAGATTTCAATGCAACTTGGAAAGTTGACTTCTCTTAACAAGATTATTTTAACTAGGAATCAACTTGCTGGAGGCATACCTCGTGAAGTTGGCTTACTCAAAGAACTTGAGTACCTTGACTTGTCCAAAAATAGATTAAGCAAGTCAATCCTAGGAGATTTAGGGTACTTGTCAAAATTGCACTACTTGAATTTGCGAAACAATCAATTTAACCTCAAAATTCCGTTCCAATTGGGGAATTTGTTTCAATTGTCAGAACTTGATTTGAGTCATAACTTGCTCAAAGGAGAGATACCATCACAAATATGTAATTTGGAGAGCTTGGAATATCTAAATCTTTCCTACAATAAACTTTCTGGCCTAATTCCAACTTGTTTTGAAGATATGCATGGCTTGTCAAGTATTGACATATCTTATAATGAGTTACAAGGTCCAATTCCCAACAACAGAGCATTCCGAGATGCTCCCATTGAAGCATTACAAGGGAATAAAGGATTGTGTTGTAATGCTAGTGGATTGACACCTTGTAAGGTTCTCATATCACACAAAAACGTTGTAGAAAAGAGGTTGGTAATCTCCTTTCTTGTTTCAGGAGCACTTGTTCTTTTAATTGTGTTGACTTTTATGTCCTTTTGTTTCCAAAGAAAAAAACAAGAGTTAACAAAACAATGTAGAAGCGTGAACAAGGATGAATTTCTTTCAATATTAACTTTTGATGGAAAAATAATGTACGAAGAAATCGCAAGTGCAACAGAGAATTTTGATGCCAAGCATTGCATTGGTAGGGGTGGATTTGGAAGTGTTTACAGAGCACAGCTTAAGTCAGGGACTATTTTGGCGATAAAGAAATTTCACTCCCTTCAGCTTGATGAGATAGAAGACCAAAAAGAGTTTTTAAATGAAATAAGGGCATTAACAGAGGTACGACATCGAAACATTGTGAATTTTTTTGGTCTTTGTGTACATTCTCGAGACTCTTTTTTAGTTTATGAGTATCTTGAAAGAGGTAGCTTGGCCACATTCTTGAGTAATGAAGCCACAGCAAGAGAATTGGAATGGGGTAAGAGAGTAAATATTTTGAAAGGGGTGTGTAATGCCTTGTCCTACATAGACCACGATTGCTTCCCACCAATAGTCCATCGAGACATATCAAGCAAAAATGTGTTGTTGGATTCAAAATATGAACCTCATGTTTCAGACTTTGGAATTGCCAAATTTCTTAACCCAGACTCATCCAATTGGACACATGCAGGACATACGGATAATTGCAACAGGATATATAATTCATTTGTAATTGACTTGATTGTTTTGTTACTTACATAAAAAATAATAATAGTATGAAGTATGGTCTCATCATTTATCTTTCACTTTGCAGAACTTGCTTACACAATGAAGGTAACTGAAAAATGTGATGTATTAGTTTTGGAGTGTTAGCATTGGAATTGATCAATGGAAAGCATCCGGGTGATATCATCTACCTATCAACACACTTTTCACTTGGGAGAACTGTGTTGTGAACAATGTTTTGGACGAACGCCTTCCACTTCCTCCACCTGCTATTCAAGATCAACTGATGCAATATAAAGCTAGCATTGATTGTTTGGATTCTAATCCAAAATCTAGGCCACCATGAACATGGTTTCTCATATGTTTTCAGCCACACGGATCTTCCCTAGATGCCTTCAAACAATCAAATTAGGACAATTGATTGTGAGTGATGTCTCAAGCTTGTAAAAGAATAAAATATTGGTGTTGTTTCTCTTTTGGTTATTGTATGCATTTAGTTTCTAGGCATGCATTTTGTTTTTGTTTTAACTTTATGTATTAGCATGCTTTCAAGAGGTGGCTCAACGTCCCTCTTTAGGTGTATTTGATTTCTTTTTGTTCAATAAAATTCCCTCATTCCGTGAGGTTTTATCAAAAACAAAATTTTCCAAGAAGAAATACAGTTTTAACTGCTTGAAAAAACTGTTAAAAAAAATATTAAAATATGTTTAATATATCATATATCATACTGTTAGAGTCATGAAAGTGACTCCACTTTAGTGACAAAAAGACCCTATGTGTATTGAATTGAAGTTATATTGAGACAATTAAGAGAAATTATGAATTTTTGTTTAAAAATCATATTTGAGTTTTTCTACTAATTTGGCATGTTTGGATTGAAATTTGAGATTGTGTAAGTTGATATAGGATGTGATTTATTTTCTAGGGTTGATGTTGTCTCATTTATGCCATTCAGGGGTCAAATTTTCATAATTTTGGGGTTGATTTGTCATTTTTAATATGCAGGGACCAAATGGATATTTGCCGAATGGGTTATAAACTTCCAGGGACCATCGTGAAAAGGGAGACGCGCGCGCAAACCAATCCAAAACCCTAGCCTTCCACTGAATCTGGTCGCCGGCCGGTGACGTTTCATCTTCCAGGCCGGCGACCCTTCATCTTCCGCCGGCGTGCCTCCACCACAAGCCACCACCGTGAAACACGCGCTGCCGCGACGCTTCGCCTTCCCACCACCGCGTCGTTTCGTCTTCCCGACTAGTTTTGGTCGTTTTTCGACGACGTTCCAGCTCCCCAACGGTAGATCTTCATTCTCCACGGCCGGATCTACACTTCCCTAGCTTTAGCCGTCGCGAAAACTGTCGGAATCCGTAATTTAGCCGCCGCGACTCTTCATCTTCCAGGCCAGATCCTGCTCATTTCTGGTGACTTCTCACCTCCCCAGGACCTAATCTGAACTCCCCATCACCAAAGCTTTCCATCGGTACCTTCAGATCCCATTTCCGCCACCGTTTTCCGGAGACCCGCCGGAAAATTAACGTTTTCCGGCGAACTGCGGCTGTTAGTATTCCGGGCTGTCCGTGGGTCGTTTTCACCCCTTCTTCACATCATATCGCTGTCGGTTACCTCCTCTTCGCCATGATCAACTCCGTTTCCACTGTTTCAGCCTCCGTCATCACCACCATGAGCGGCTGAGTTCCCGATTGTCTATTACGGCATAGGCGAGATCGGGATTGACTCCACTGATCTCCTCATCAGCTCTTGACTAGTTGGATGAGCCCGAATGTTGGATATTTGGTTAAGTTTCTTGTATTCAGATTATATTTGTTTTCGTTTCAGTTTATTTGCGATACTTTAATATTATTCTGATACTCGACGTGTTGAATTGATAATGTCCATTGAAAACGTTTATTGATATATAACTTTTCGCATAATTGAATGTCGGTTTGAGATTATTGAATGTTGATTATGACTTTAAATTGCTTCGGTACTGATTGAAATCAAGTTGTAGTAGCGTTTAATATCATTTCTACTAAGAATGCATTTATTGTGTAATTAGTTGATTGGATGATACAGGTTGATAGATTGTACTTGTTAACATTGTACCAACTAGTGGTGTTTAAGGGTTTAGCATTTTTCGGTTAGTCGATGATAGTCTTTAACCAATCGATCCGTAACTAAGACGACGGGGAGACAGGATAGATTATACCTAGATTGCAGGAAGCCATTTCATTGATTTGCCTAGCCTTGTAGGTTTAGGAAATTGAAGAGCGAGAGGAGAGGAATTGTGAGAGTTGGTCTTGAGTCAAACCGAACCCGTAGCGACAACGCTTTTAATATTGTGTTTTAGTTAGTAATTTATTTAATGATTTTAATTTCCTGCTAGTAATTAGTTTCCTTAGTTTTAATAAATCATTTTGCTAATTTCTCTTTCGTTAACTCAAATATACATTAGGTCGTTAGTCTTGCTCTCTGTGGATTCGACCCTGCTTACCGCTAACTACGGTACTTAGGTTTAATTTTGTGACCGTGACGACCGGTCTAACCAAAGAATTTAATGTATCTGATTTACTATCTAAGTTTAAGGAAAAATATATGTACAAGCACCTGATGGATTATAATGTCTACCTTGTTTACACCGTGGAGTCTCATTTCTACCTTCAAATCTAATCATTGTATTATATAAACTTAAATTAGTCTTTAAAATTGTTATGCCTGAAAAAATAGGGTTGACGCAAGATCCAGTCAGCATAAAAAATCAGAACATGGGAAGACCCGCAGCCAGCCAGAGGCGGCCACATCATACAATGGCAGAGACGGCATGCTCCAGTCAGGGCAGTGGGTGGGCGTCAGTCCAGCCAAGAGCTGTATTGACTCCACGTGTCTAATCCCTGCACCAAATCGCGTAAATCACTCTGGAAGGTGGGCAATGGGACATAAAGAGTGATTTGTACGGATAATCTCACCAACTCACAGATTTAGTAATCATAACCTTAATCCATCCCACTATAAATTGGGGGTTTCTCTCTCATTTGGGGGATTAGCTAATCTCTCTATAGAAAAATAGCATTTACTTTTCTTGTAATCATTTGTAGGTCAGTCCGCTGAATGCGACCTGACCGCTGTTATTAATACAAAATTAGTGGACGTAGGACTTGCTTCTTTAAGCATCCGAACCACTTTAAACACCATTCCCCATTATCTTTACTCTCATTTTCCCCTTTCATGTGTGTCTCCTAGGCCAGCTCAACATTTCACACGTGCGTTTGATTGGTGTCAAAATCACGCATCAACAAAAATGAAGATAAAAACTTTAAACCATTTTCCAATTGCAAACAAATAACAACGAAAGCAATAAGTTTAGATTAAATTATTTAAAGTTAAGTTAAACACTGAAAAAAACAATAATTCCGTTCAATTTTTACATTTCTGTTATTAGATTTCAGATTTGATTTCTACATCTAACATATTACAATACCTTTGGAATTATATATTTTTTTATAAATCTTAATCTCCTTTTCCTTTTATGCAAAAGTTTTTATTATAAAAGACTTTTCATTGTAATTATGTTTCTCTATGAACGAAAAAATAATAACTAATTTTCCATCATAATTTATAGAATCTTTCTAAGAGAGAAAGCAAAAGAACAAGAAAATTCAATTCCTAAAAAACTAATAAAATTTAATAATTATCCATTAATTTAATTTCTTCTTAATTTAGAGAGAAACAATTTATGAAAAAGAAAAGATTAATAACTTCTTTCTTTCATACATTATATATTATGCATATTAAATAAATTAAAATTAATGTTATATATTATAATATTTATCTAATGATACATTCTTAGATATTATACATATTTACAAATGATAATAGCATAAAAAAAAATTGGTTTTAATATTTTCAATTTATAGTTTTAATCTAATTAATTTTATGAAAAATTAATGTTTTAATAATTAATATATCTCTTATTCATATTTATTACCAATTAAGGGAGATTATCAATCAAGGTAAAATGATAAAAAAAATGTCACAAGTTTATAAAGTTTAGATAGATTTTAATGATTTATAAAGTTGATCTGTTAGATTTTCAAATTTTGACATATAATATTTTTTTTAAATAGATATAAACTTTTCTTAAGCAAAGCACTTAATTTTATTTAACTTAATAAGAAAATGTTACGTTCTTATATTAACTTTTATTATTATTATTATTATTATTATTATTATTATTATTATTATTATTATTATTGCTGTTGTTGTTATTGCCATTATTATTGTATAATTTTGTATTTGATGTGATTTAGACGCTAAAATCTACAATTGCGGAAAGAAATTGTGAGGGTGAGGCCACTGACAATCCACTGCACCTACACACACAAAGAAACCAATGTGAAGCAAACGGAAAAAATCGGGATGGTGTTTGCCGTAGGCACTTCGATGCTTAAGTCAGTAAGGCTGATAAAGGCTTTTTAGTGAAGGCTAAGGGAAAGGAAGGTTACCTATGGACTTTAGTCAAAGACTAAAACTATGGTGAAGGTGTACGTTTTTAGATCGAAGAACTTTAAGAGCTGGTAGGTGGTATAAAGATTCGATGCCTAAATAGAGGTGTGTCCCTTGTTTATATAGTAGTCGCAGGATCTTATATCCTAGGGGGACTTTGAGTCCATAACGGTAGAGGTTTAGTGAATAGTAAAAATCTTGATTTACTTGTCTCAATAGGATTTAGAGTCTAATTCACATAAGATACGGAATCTTGGATGAACTAGGATTGAACCCAAATAGGAAGAGTCCTAATTATTATGGACCAATGGGCCTAGCCTTAGGTGGGCTAATAGTGATGCCCAATTTGGAGAGAGGCTAGGTTTAGGCCATGTGTTTGGCCTATGACATGAATTATAACGTAGACCCAACCAGAATTGGACCACAGCCTTAGGCCTACATAGTAGAAAATACCTGCTTGGGTCTGATACAGCCTAAGATGATTTTTTGCCCATACATGTGATGAAACCAAAGTCATGTGTGGTCGTTGTGAGGCA